ATTAAAAAAACGGTAATATTGTGAAATATTATTACAATTTAAAACAGCGTTTTTTTATGTGAATATATAGTGAAGTGTAATTTATTCCTGTGATCAAAGCTGAATTTATCATCATTATTTCAGTCTTCATTGTCACATGATCCTACAGAAATTATTATAATATGATGCTCAAGAAACATTTATGATTATTATCCATGTTGAAAACAGTTTTTTACATTTTTATTGCAGGATTCGTAGATGAATAGAAAGTTAAAAAGAACAGAATTAATCTGAAATGGAAATATTTTGTAACATTAATCACTACCATTCAAAAGTTTGGGGCCAGTAAGAATTTATTTATTTTTTATTTTTGGAGGAAAGAAATTCGAAAATACTTTAATTCATCAAGGATGAGTTAAATTGATCAAAAGGATCATGTGACACTGAAAACTGATGTGTAATCAGCAACAGTAATGGTGTTGAAAATTCAGCTTTCAAATTACATTTTAAAATATATTAAAACAGAAAACAGTCATTTTAAATTGTCATAATATTTCACAATATTACTGTTTGTCATTTTTTTATCAAATAAAGCAGCCTTGGTGAGCAAAAAACTTACTGATCTAAAACTTTTGACCGGTAGTGTATATATATATATATATATATATAATGTAAGCGTAATGAAGAAAGATTTCACTGCCAGTTCACACACACACACAAAGTCCCCACTTGGTTGGATAGATATCATTCAGAATGTCCCCTCTTCGCCAGTGTACAGCGACACTGCTGTGTAGCAATATAGACATGTATTTGTTCGAGCATTATATAATGACACACCCACACACACACACACATATATGTGTATAAGTATGTATAAGTTACAAAATGAAGACAAGATTTCACTGCCAGTTCACTTCACTGTTCACACAGACATACAGTTCAATTGCAGGCTATATGAGTCCCCTGTTGGTAAGGTAGACATCGGCCAGAGTTTCAGGTCCCCACTTGGCATGTTTTTTTAAAAATAAAAAAATGCATATTTAAAGTCATATTATGAAAAAAGACCTTAAAAGAGAATTTTGTACGTCATTTTTGTTTCTTCAAAATGACCAGAAACACTAGTCCCCTCTTGGCCAGTGTAGAGCGATAGTCCCCTTTTAGTAATATAGACGTGTATGTGTGTGTGTGTGTGTGTGTTGCTGATGCACAGATGTACAGTATATTGTCTTTGTTCTGTGGATGAAGTCTCTTCTCCTCTACAGACCGACTAAACATTTTCCCCAGTTAACAGCATTTGTGTGTGTTTCACTCGCTCCTCAGATAGCAGACGGATGTGGGCCACTTCAGGCGATGATGCGGCACTGGAGGTCTTCTTATGGCCCCAACAAAATGTGTGTGATCCTGAAGTGGTCCACATGAAAAATGGCAAATATGGCCCATATATTTTAAATCAGATGTGGGCCTTTTTAGGCAAAGATGCGGCACTCATGACAATGTGTAATCTGAATGTGGGCCTAAAGTGGCCCATATGATAAATAATGAAATGGCAATGTAAATGTAAAAAAGAAAGGTGATAGACGTCTGCCAGCAAATAGGCCCTAACCGAAATATGAGTCAAGCCGGAAACACAGATCCTCGCTCCGTGATTGCACAGCGAGGGATGACGTCGGGATGACTTTCCTACTTTGTTGTAAACTCTGACCTTGTGCTTCTCTTTCTGTTGCTGCTTTAGAGGGGAAGAACAAGACAATCGGGACACTATTCTGCCCTACAAAGCAAAAAGGCAGTAACTGCAGTTTTGGTAAAGCATTAATTATTACAATTTTCATGACATTCAAGCCAACCTTTGTTATATGACAAAACATCTTATCTTAAATGCATGTCGTTTTAGTGAAAAATGGTAGTCGTTTGTACAGTAACTGCAAAAAGCCCTAGCAAAAGTCATTTTTCTCACTCTGCGTAGTTACTGCCTTTTTGCTTTGTAGGGCAGTTTGCAGCCACGGCCAGTGAGTTAATATACATGCTATCTTCCTAACTTAAAAAATAAATTGATAGAATAGAATAGAATAGAAGGTTTATTTATAAAGCACATTTAAAAACAACCGAGGTTGACCAAAGTGCTGTACAAAAGAAGATAAAACAAACACACGCTGTAAAATAGATGTAGCACATAAAAATAAAATCCTGAAACAAAATCAAGGTATAATTAAAACGCCAAAGAAAATAAATGCGTCTTGAGGGAGGACTTTAAAGTAGATAAAGTTGTGGCAGTTCTAATATGAACCGGGAGAGTGTTTCATAATTTAGGGCTGATGACAGAGAAGGCACGATCACCTCTATTTTTTAATCTTGTCCTGGGGACTTGCAATAGAGTTTGCTGATCAAGTGACCTTGACTGAACGTTGGGGTGTAGCAAATCTGTTAAATACTGTGGTGTCTCATTACGAATGGATTTAAAAACAAACAATAGAATTTTGAAATCAGTTCTATATTTGAGCGGCAGCCAATGTAGCGAGATCAATACTGGCGTGACAGAATCATATTTACGTTTCCCGTAGAGAAGCCGAGCCGCTGCATTCTGAACTAATTGTAGACGTGAAACACAAGCCTGAGGGGCGCCGATATACACAGAATTACAGTAGTCCAGTCGAGATATTATGAAAGCATGCATAACTATTTCAAATTATTTCAATACCCGCTGAAATGGGTTGGGTTGTATGACGTTTGAACCAGAAAGGCGTGTTAGGGGCGAGGGTTAGGGCAGCGCTGCGGGGCTACTGGCCCGGCAGTGGAAATGCAAGCCCGGTGCTTGAGGCCCGAGGCCACTAGCTCGGCTCGGCTCGCTGTTAGCTCTGGCCCAGCCCTAGCCCGGCAGTGGAAATGCGGCTAATGGCAATGATGCACAGAATTTAAAGAGTTAAAGTTCAAGGTATTGGCCACTGGCCTACAAATGACCTGGGTCAGGCAACTGTTCTAGGTGCTGTCGACTGGCCCCTCCTTTTTTACCGCCCATCCCCACAATCCCTTCTGTCATGCAAAATAAATATGGTGGACGGATATCTGGGCTGGATGTGGTGTCTCTGGCTAGGTAGCTAACCAGTGCACACCAGGGTCTAAGCCCCAGATTACCAAAAAACTAAACAAAGACAAAGGGCCAACCAAACTTCACAAGTCCTGTCAGGTCACAACTAGACTAGGTGAGCTTGGTCTGGACTGGAGGTGCCTAATATGCACTCTAAAACATGCAGGGTTGTTTTAACCCAAATTTGGGTCAAATATGGACAAACCCAAACATTGGATTAAAAATGTAATTAAAAATGTAACCCAATGGCTCGGTTTGTCCATGTTGTTGTATGAAACAGGCAATTTGTTCAGTTATTTCCAATTACTTTATAGGTAGTCTTTTATTATTATACTTTTTTGTTACATGTAAACTGCTTATAAGACTTTATAGATAGTCTTTTATATACAGCTTTTAAGTGGAAACTGTTTATAAGACTTTATATAGTTTCCATTCTTATTGCGTTTCCACAACAATGCTAGTGAGTAAATCTACTGAAATTGCCACCACAACACCCGGATAGAGAATCTTACCTGAATCCAGAATTGAAACTTCAAGCTAAAAAAAGATTTCAACAGAGAATCTCAACTGAATCTTGAAAACTTCAAGCAGAACAAGATCTCAAAGCGGACTGAACAAGATCTCAACAAAAAGAACTTTTCTGACTGAGTTCCAGACTGAATCTTTTCATACTTGTAAGCAAAGAGTTTTCACTCTATTCAAAGAACCGAACCAGTACAAATTTGTGCCTCTGCACCATCAGAGAAGTTATCAGACAGAAGTTATGCTTCGGGGGTCACCCCTTGGGAGAAGATTCCCTCATAGGTCTTCCCCATTCATTTAGTCAATCTTCACCTCACTGTAATTCAACACTGGGGTCTTTGCTGTGCACCCACAATGCTTTCACAGCAAGTCTTGTTCCCCCAAAAGTGTTTTTTTTTTATTTATTTTGTATGCATTTTGTCCAGTAACAGAAGAAGAACGCAGGAGACAAACTAAAGGTAAAATAAGAACAGTTTATTGAGTAATCTTAGTTTTGTCTGTTACAGTAAAACTGAATCTGATCGGCACAAATTCTTGTGTTATTATATCACAAGCGTTTTACGTTAAAAACCTTTAAATGGAGACACTCTCTGATCTCTTACTTGCTTTTGACGACAACAGAACCTAACATAAGATTAAACAGTTATGGACAAATAATATAAAATGACTGAACAATAACTGTATCAGTGAAATGAACCCTGTAAAAAAAATCATAATTTGAACAGTAAAATACTGTAAAAAAGCAATGGAAAAGACTGAATTGCTTAACAGTCTGTACCCTTATATACTGTGAAAAACTGTAATTGCTCTCATAAGACATTTCAGGTTTTACAGTAAAATACTGTTAAATGTATGGATTTTGAAAGTACATTGTAAAAAACCCTTACCTTTGCATTTATCATAACTTACTGTAAAACATACGGTAGAAATTTTTATGTTTTTGATCATTGAACTTAAATTTACGGTAAAAAAACGGCTAGCTGTGGTTGACAGTCCTTTACCGGTGTTCTGGCGATTCATGCTACCCATCGAGATTTGCTACTTACCGGTTATGCGCATGTGCAGACTCACAGTTTTTTTTTTTTTTTTTTTTAACAAAAGGTACATTTTCCTGTTATATTGTATAATTTCCCTTTAAAAAAATGCTTACTACCATATGAATATTTTTACGGTCAGCCAGCTGAAAAAGAATAAATTAAAGTTTCAGTTACTATGAGGAAAGGTGTACTTTGACAAGTCAAAGATCAATATTTTATGATAATTTTTACTTTTCACACCGTTTTAAAAATAAAAACAGTAGTCTACAGTATACAGTAGCAACTCATCACTTAGAATTGTATTATAATTGTATTTCATATGACTTTAATTGATATTCTGGGATCAATTCGCGCTACGGTAGCATTTTTCGACAAGGCAGCAAAAATCAACAGAACAACGGCAGTCAAACTGATGTTTTGTTACCGTAAATTTCACAGGTTTTCTTTACATTGTGTTTTTTTTTTCACCCGTGAATTTATGTCCAGTAAAACATAAAAGGTTCCCACCATATTTTTTACAGTAAAAAACTGGCAACCAGTATACTGGCAGGTATTTTACCTTAAATTTAACTTTTTTTTAACAGTGAACGATAAATGAATCAGTTAAATGAGTACATAAATGGTTATTGAAAATGATTATATGATTGAATCGTATAATTAAATGATAAATGATTATAAATGAATAAAAAGATGTACCACAACATAAATGGTCGCTCTCTAGAAGCTTTCTTTACTTTGTGTTTTTTTTTTTTTTTTTTTTTTTTTTGCACGTAAATTTATGCCCCGTAAAACATAAAAGGTTCCCACCATATTTTTTTTTTTACAGTAAAATACTGGCAACCACAGGTATTTTACCTTAAATTTAACATTTTTTAACAGTGAACGATAAACGAATCAGTTAAATGAGTACATAAATGGTTAAATGGTTATTGAAAAAGATTATATGATTAAATGGTATAATTAAATGATAAATTATTATAAATGAATAAAAAGATGTACCACAACATAAATGGTCGCTCTCTAGAAGCTTTCTTTTCATTGTGTTTTTTTTTTTTGCCCGTAAATTTATGTCCTGTAAAACATAAAAGGTTCCCACCATATTTTTTTACAGTAAAATACTGGCAACCACAGGTATTTTACCTTAAATTTTACTTTTTTTAACAGTGAACGATAAATGAATCAGATAAATGAGTACACAAATGGTTAAACGGTTATTGAAAATGTTTATATGATTGAATGGTATAATTAAATGATAAATGACTATAAATGAATAAAAAGATGTACCACAACATAAATGGTCGCTCTAGAAGCATTCTTTTCATTGTGTTTTTTTTTTTTTTTTTTGCCCGTAAATTATGTCCCGTAAAACATAAAAGGTTCCCACCATATTTTTTTACAGTAAAATACTGGCGACCACAGGTATTTTACCTTAAATGTAACTTTTTTTAACAGTGAACGATAAATGAATCAGTTAAATGAGTACATAAATGGTTAAATGGTTATTGAAAAAGATTATATGATTGAATGGTATAATTAAATGATAAATGATTATAAATGAATACAAAGATGTACCACAACATAAATGGTCGCTCTCTAGAAGCTTTCTTTTCATTGTGTTTTTTTTTTTTTTTTTTTTTTTTTGCCCGTAAATTTATGTCCCGTAAAACATAAAAGGTCCCACCATATTTTTTTTACAGTAAAATCCTGACAACCACAGGTATTTTACCTTAAATTTAACTTTTTTTTTAACAGTAAACGATAAATGAATCAGATAAATGAGTACATAAATGGTTAAATGGTTATTGAAAATGATTATACGATTAAATGGTATAATTAAATGATAAATGATTATAAATGAATAAAAAGATGTACCACAACATAAATGGTCACTCTCTTGAAGCTACACACACACACAGGTTGCCAGAAATAATTATTAGCTCCTTCATTACCCCCTTTTAATCATATATGCAAACAGAAATTTACTGGACGCAAGCAAACTTTCATAATCCTTATCAAACTTTGAAAGTATGGAAACATACTTTCTACATGTCCTTTTAAAGGAAAGAACAGGTATCTTCTGTCATACCGCATACCGGCGTTTGTTCAGGGGAATGTGTCTCAAACTGTTGTTTTACAGCTGTTAAGATCTGACAAAGCTGTAAACTAATGTACAAAAGATGATAAACAGCCCTGAAACTGCAACTTCTAAAATACGGGTAAAGTCAAAGATTGGCGTCACAATAGTCTTAGACAAATTGGTCTTCCAGTGGGCATTTGATGTGTGAATTTATGAATTTACGAATTTATTAATATGAATTTAACATCAATATGACATCAAACAAAATGTCAAATGATGTCAAAATGACGTCACAAAATAGGTCAAATATGAAAGTCATATTGAAGTGAAAATATAAATGTCAATTTGATGTCAATGATATATTGACCTGAGATGTAGGGACCAGAAAAAAACCCTTTTCTGGGCCTCTTTACAACCACAAGGAAAAAATTACAAAATATAATGGAAATATGCATATTCATGCATGTCATACATGGTGGTCAAAAAACATAAGTGGAAAACAGTTGGTGTCTGTCTAACTTAACTTAACTTTCCATAAGAACCATCTTGAAGTTGAAGATAGCAGTTCCGTTTCTTGGCCTGTTTGCCGAAACAGAGTAGGTTTAATAATGCAACCTCTCAGCAAATTTCTTAAAGATCACAGACATCGATCTGCGAAAACACAAAAACAACAGAAGGGAAAACAGAGTCTGGTCTTTTTGAAAAACAATCTGCTTAAACTTTGTTGGAATTATTTTGACTCGATTATAATCAGAGCCTAAGCAAACACCATAGAGACCATTTGGCTGTCAAGTAAGCCCATATCGTCATCAAGAGGTTGGCTCCTAAGTCACTAAGAAATTTTGTCCAACTAAAACCAAAACATCATAACTCATAGTATTATATTAGTTATAATATTGCATTGAATAAAATTTAGTCCCAATATGCTTGAATTCACTCCTCAGATTTTGAGCTTGACATTGAGAGCATTATTTGTTATTAATACACTATATCTTCAAAAGTACCAACTAAACTTCCAGCAGCTGCTCCAAAAAAAGGAACATAGTGACCCCAGGAACCAGCTCGTTTTGATCTGTATGATTCGTTTGCTTCAGCCTCAGCCTTTTCTTTCTTGTATTTTCTATCAGCTTCTTTTAAAGCATTAGCTTTTTCCATCTTGAAATATTCTTCAGCTTGTTTTAAAGCTTTAGCCTTTTCTGTCATGAATTTTTCTTCAGCTTCTTTTAAAGCTTTAGCCCTGGATTTTTCTTCAGCAACTTTATAGACTTCACAAAGTAATTTCTTGTGTTTTTTTTCTGCATCTTGTAAAACTTCATCCACTTTTTTCTTGTGTCTTTCTTCAGCTCTTTTTAAAGCATGAGCCTTTTCGGATTCATGTTTTTCTTCGGCTTCTTTTAAAGCGTGAGCCTTTTCGGTTTCATGTTTTTCCTCAGCTTCTTTTAAAGCTTTAGCCACTCGTCTATCAAGATTTTCATTATATTCATGCTCTGATTGTTCTCTTGTTTCTCTTTGAATTCGTTCCTGCAGGTTTTGATTTTCTTCCTCATGTTTCTCTTCCATGCATTTCATAAAGGCCTGTTGTTGTTCTCCTAGAGATTTTTCTTTTTGTTTAATCTCCTCTTCAAGTTGTCTCTGTTTCATCTCCAGTTTTCTCTTCATCTCTTTTTGTATCGCCTCATCTGTTTGTTTCTTGATCTTTTCTTCTTTGTTTTTAAACTCCTCTTTTCTTTTTCTCAGTTCATTCTGAATCTCTTGTCTTTCTCTCTCTTCATCTTTCTTCTTCCCTTCTATTTCTGTTTCATATTTGGCTCTCAGCACTTCTTCTATTCTCTTGATCACTTCTTCTTTTTTCTTTATTATTATCTTTTGTCTCTCTCTGATGTTCTTCTCCACCAGCTGGAACATCTCATTGGTGTAGAAACTCCCTCCATTTCCTGCCACCATACAATCAATCTTATCCAGCAGCTCAGAAACCTGTGTCTGATCTTTAGTCTTGTTGTTATTGAACACATGGTATCTGTGACCACACTGCTGGATGAGGCTCTTTAAACTATCATCATCTTCAATGAAATCTTCCATTCTTCTTCCTCTAAGGTCATCTCCTCTGGTGAACAGCACCATGGTGTACATTCTGGATTCATCACCAAAAGACTCCTGGATCATCTTAACTGTGTCTTTCTCCTCTTGAGTGAATCGTCCCAGTTGAATCACCAGCAGAAACACATGTGGACCGGGTGCCGCCATTGAGACGCACATCACAATCTCCTTCCTGATCTCAACATTATCAGCTCCAGTATCATACAGGCCTGGAGTGTCGATCACAGAGATATGTCTCCCGTTAAAATCGGTTGTTTCTTTCACAGAGCGTGAAGTCAGGATTGATTTAAAAGCTTCTCGTCTCAAGATGGTGTTTCCCGTTGCACTTTTCCCAACACCTGTCTTTCCCAGCAAAACAATCCTCACATCACTGTTTGCTACACCTGCTAACAGAAGACAGGTACTACAGTGAAATTCTCTAAAAATACACAGATCAAACATCATTTCATCTGCTTAAAATGTAACACAGTGCCGATTGTATCCAAATCTGTGGGAGAAACTGCATTCGGCCTTACATCATAATAATTAAAACAATAAAGTATGAATGACCACCTGAATTTTTGCCTTTCATAGACTGCTGAGACAATCAAATCTTTTTTTTTGAAAGCCATTGCCTAAATAATGTACATGACTACAGCATTTATTTTCACAACATATGTGTAAAACTGCCAGGTAGAATATAAAAAAAAGTAAATGTCTCACCTGTAACTGCTCTGTTCCTTGAACTTTTCTGAAAAACACATTTGATACTGATTTGTAAAACCGCCATAAGTTAATTATAAAAACACAGTAGCATTGCTGCACATATTTCTAATCAATGATTTAAATCTAGTTCTTCATACCTCTGTGGTAACGTTGATTACGTCACTGTCTACGGTATAGTTGAGTTTCCCCACCGCTGCACACTTGATGTCATACTCAGTTCCTGGTCTCAGATCAGTCAGAGTAACTGTGTCTTGATCCCTCAGCACAGGTTCAGATGCCCAGACTGTGTCCTGCTTCGGTTTATACAGTAATCTGAGCTCCTCTGTAGCAGGACATGGTGGAGGAACCTTCAGAACCACACTCTGACCTTTGACCTCTTCAGTGATTGGACAGGCTGGTGTGGATGGAGGAGTAAAGCAAACAGCTTCATCGCACTCACTTTTGTACAGAATAATGCAGGATCCAGGATGATTCTCCATTTCCTTTGAGGACACAATGAATCTGTCTTCTTTACACCTTTCCTTTGAATTGATCAAATTCTCAAATATCTTCAAGTTTCTCTTCATGATCTTTTTATTTACTGAAGTGAGCCAAGACTTTTGCTTTGAACCGGGGCTCTTCTTAGCAGTTTCTCCTTGTTTTGAAGAACTCAGATAGGCAGTTTGTTCAGAAAGAAGCACGTCTGAGCAGTCCAATGATGTGAATGTGTAACTCACCAGATTTCCGTCTTCCAGGCCCATCCAGATAGCATCTGCATTGAGCTCTACCTTTGCACCAGCATCCTTCAGCCGTCGGAGGATTGATTTAATGACTTCAGACTCTCTTTCTCTCTCTTTCAGCCATTCTGCAAGATTACTTTCTCTAAATGGAGATTTATCATGGTCTTGTAGAAGATCATTCAGTGCAGTTTCCTTCATCACGTCTCCACGGATGTTTGGCAGCAGAGAGCCGAGTGTCTTCGTGAGTCTCAACTTGTACGTGTAGCAGTTGTTTTTCATTTGCTGAATTTGATCATGAAATGCAGCAAATGTCTGAGCGGGAGAGTCTTCCATTAGGTCACTGCATTTCATCTCAGTTGTATTTAAACTCTCAATCACTGATTCGATCTGTGTGATTAGATTCATGTTGATGTCTTTATGAATATTTGAAGCTCTTGAGTGAAGTTTGTCCAGAGGATAAAGCCAAACCTTCAGAGGAACTGCCAGCTCTTGGTTTCCTTTCAGAAGTTTTGGAAGATCAGCAAAAACATTCCATGCATCTTCAAAAGAGGTCGGGTTAGACGGTAGCTGGAAGTCGCCATAAAATGTACATGTGAAATTTTTGACCTCGTTTTTCTGATTTTCATTCATCTTCACACCAACCTTTCCACTCACTGAAAGACCCTTCAGTTTCTCAATGGCCACTTTTAATTCTCCATTCACAGTAGTCATGTCCTCATCTATTGAAACTTTTCTGTCAAAAATGAAGTAGGCATTTGCTCCGTACAGCACTCCTGTCACTACATGTGTAGCTGTATCATTATAATTGTCTGGCATATTTTGAATGCTAGGCAAATGGTTAATGATCAGTTCTTTAAATTCACAGGTTGACTTATAATGTAGCGTCAGTCTCTGCTGTATGAAAGATTTCTTGTTGTCATTGAGATACTTTGCTGCTCCACTAACCTCGATGAGTCCACCTAAAATACTCAGGCTCATCTCACCATTAATATCTAGTAATTTCGATTTGTCTTGAATGGAGTCTGAAGCAGTGACATTGAATTGTGTATTAATTTGGGGACGAGAGGACTTATTCTTCTCTATCTCCTCTTTTTTCCAAGGCCTGATCCCTGAAGAAGGAAAATGTGTATTAGCTTTCAACAATTAATGTTTATTAGAATCACATTTTATGTCTAAAAAAAAAAAAACTATGTTATGTCTTGTTTCACATGGTCTCCTGTCCATTCAGTCTTAATAGTTAATGATAAACAAACTTGGGGGTCGAACCAGTAATAATGGCTGACAGGACAGAATGTTTAGGCTCCTTCTGAACTAAGTCTAGAAACTATGTTTAGAACTTCATTTTTTTCTCTTGTTTTCAGCTGATATCTACGGGAGCCCCTGAGGGGAGCTTTGAAAAAAAAATACTGACTTTCGTATGCTCATGAGAAACTCTGTGTGTTCACGAGAAAACTATCGTGCGCTCAATTTCCACTGTGCGTTATAGTGTCAATACTACAATTGTGGGAAAAGTGATTAGATGAGAGTGTATGGATAAAGTTGGATGCATAAAAGCCAGTAGAAGACAAGCCTGCAACCTTCAGCCAAAAAAAAGTAAAGGAGACCATAGTCTCCCTATTTAATTAGTTTATTTAATGAATCGACTGCCTGTCCACTAATCTTCAACATATTTTGCTCTAAACAATACTTTTGTTGGGAATGATAGGCTATGTATATTTTACTATGATAAAAAGGTTACTTTATGAGAGAATGCAAAAAAGGAAGTCGCGAGAGGTAGGATCCATTACATTGTTAGACCTTCCAGTTTTTTTTTACAGTAAAATACTGGCAATTTACTAATTAACTGTACAGTTCTTTACTGTAATTTACAGCATGTTACTGTAAAAATTCAATGCACAAAATTAAAACTCAAGTTTACTTGAGTTTAAAGTCTGAAATAGAAAAATAAAGTCAGTGTGGTTAGTAATAAGTGATGCTGGTAATGCTGTTTGTGGAGTTGTTTAATCCTCCTCAGAGGTGGGTAATCCAGGGGTCAAAGAGTAAAAGTCCTGTCATATGTTTATTCCACCTATAAACTCAGTCAGCTGATTTCACTATTTAGTTCTCTCTCCGGTCTGAATTAGCAAATCCAGGTGATTGGAACAAAATACTGAGGAGGACTTTTATTCTGAATCTGGAATTTACACCTCACAGCAAAATCCCCAGTGTTAAATGAACACTCTGATGCCTTGTCCACACGAACAAGGGTATTTTTATAACCAGAGTTTTCCCCCTGCGTTACATGAAAACGCAAAAACACGTTATCAAGCACTGTCAGGAGCATGCAACACCAGCAGGCGGCGATATGAACCTAATCGTAAAGCCACGTTAGCCAATCAGAAGCCGTCAGCGGTGCAAAAACCCTGGTTTTACTGTCTACACGACAACACTGCAACCGTCGTTTCAGAAAATACTCACCCTGGCAGGGGTTTTCAAAAATGTTCGGTTTCAGTGTCCTGATACCTGATTCTGTGTTTCCATGTGGATGAATGGCCGAACCACGTAAAAAAAAAGTCACGGTTATAAAAATACCTTAGTGTGGACTCGTATAAACACTGAAGCAGTGCTAAAGTTAATGAGATAATTAAGTGAATAATTGAGTGATGATTGAGCATTATTGAAGACACCTGATGACAAGCAGAATCACTGAAGGAGAAAACCGTAATTTTAAGTCACCATTATGGTGATCAGTGTTTACTTTAGTTGGGCACTTGCTCTTTAATTTACTATCTTTATATTTTGTTTGGCTGCTGTACATGAGTTATAACAGCCAGATGAACAAATATAAAAGGTGATCTTATGGTGTTGTGTTTAAACAATCATTTTTTAAAAATCATTTGACCTGAATTAGTGAACTCATATAGAGCTCAAATTAGGTTTACTTCATTAATTATAGCAGCACTATTCTTACACCGCATAGTGTTTTAAACTTTTACAAAGTAATCCAAAGAAGTTTTTATACACATCTCATATAAAAACATTTATTTATTGATTGATTGATTTATTTGATACAGTTTTTAGACACAAAGACGTCAAGAATCAGTCTGTGAATCTCAACAATTGTGACAATTATAAAGCATGTTGAAGGGCATTCTGGGTGCCACCAATACAAACTAATTCATGGCTCCAAACATGCATTGCTGCATGAATAAAAATAAATAATGAGCTTATGTTCAGAGAAGTGATCATTTGATTTCATTGAAAAGGCTAAAAATATAATGCCATACAAGATCAGTGCTGCAAATACTAATAAAGCAAATCTAACTCAGAAACTGGCCTATACATTAGCTCAGTAATTCAGGCCAAATGTTTGTGAAATAATGATAATGTTAAAACACAACCAACACCATCAGATCACCTTTTCTATATATTCATCTAGCTGTTATGAGTCTCATACAGCAGCCAAACAACTTCTAAAGTTAACAATTTAAGGGTCAAGATCCCAACTAAAGCAAACACTGATCTCCATAAAGGTGACTTTAAATTACGGTTTTCTCCTTCAGTGATTCCGCTTGCTAACATCAGGTGTCTTTAATAATGCTCAATCATTAGGGGTGCACGATATTGACAAAAAGGTGATATTGTGATATCGATAATGAATATTGCGATAGCGATTTTTAAACGGATGTGGAACTACAAAAGTTATGGGAAAACGCATCAAAAAAGATTAATAAATAAAACAAGTTTTCTTACAACATAAGGTTTATTTCAACTGACAGTTGGACTGGTACAACATGAATAAATAAATAATAACAATGTCTGCAGAACAGGACATGTTTTACTGGTTGTATGTACACTACAGTGTAAAAAACAATAAATAAAGAGCAAGTCTACAGAACACACCTAGCCACTTCATGTGTTTTCTTTGACCGGATAGCTATCTGATCGTGAAAAGACCAGGTGTAAATGAACGCATTCGAGATGGATTTGAATCCGATCGCTCAAACCACTTCAGGGGGAGGTCTGGGCCACATTCCAGGCGAAACTGGACAAGTGTAAATGCATCTCATTGTTGAAGCCACATATGTAAAATTTACTCCTCCCAAAAATGCTAAATATGAGAACATATTACAGGCATGTCATGTTATGGCCAGATATGACGACGCACACAACTGCAACACGCATCACCGCAGATGAGCAGCTGAGTAAGTTATTTCTTTATCAAGCCAACATGCAAACTATTGGAAATCAAAGTGAAAGTAAGGCACAGACGCTTTTCACAAAGTTATCTATCTTCATTAAAATTAAACAAACTGTTCTTATTTAAGCTAATGATGATTGTAAAATGCAACTCATAACTGTTGCTTTTCGGTGACATGCACTCCATTAAATCTGCATATAGCGCGGGAATTGAAGATCGGATTTTGATAAATCAGATAGCAATCCAATCAGTGAAAACGCATAAAGTTGCCAGGTGGCCTGATGTTTATACTTGTGCGCTGGTGTGCGCATCGAGCCGGCAAGTGTGTGTGGAGCAAGGGAGAAGTGAGAGAGTGACGGCGATTAGCTTTGGAGCGAGTAGCTAGCGACTCTATATTGAGAAAATCAAAGTGTTCCCACTGTGGAAAATCTGTTGCATGAGAAGTTAAACCTCACCTTGATTTCATGTTTTTTATGGAGAAGGAGAATCAGGAAATGAGTCGGGGGAAATGCAACGGTGCATGTCGGACCGGACGTATCATAAACAAAATATCACATAAATCACGAGACTTGTGATACGTATATCGAGCTACGTGATATCGCGATAACGATATTGATTCGATATATCATGCACCCCTATCAATCATCACTCAATTATTCACTTAATTATCTCAATAACTTCAACACTGCTTCAGTGTTTATATGAGTCCACACTCAGTGGATTCCCAAAAATGTTTAACGTTAGGCTTAAAAAAATATAGACAATCAACTTAAGACAATCCTCATTAAACCCATAATAAATGTCATATTTATCTGTACCAAACATAATTTTGGTTAATAAGGTTATTTAACAGTCCACACTGCATAAATTATAAAAGAAATATAGATTAATCCTTCTCAAAGCTACAAGCGTTCTTTAGTCAAGTGCAGTTAGTAATTTTCTCTGTTCTTTACTTTACTCAGACAGAATGGCTCCTGCATGTCCTGTCACTTTAAAATCTGCCGCTGCTGACAGGATCTCACGCATCTCATTCTCTCACTACTATTTACTTTCATTTAAGATTTTACTTTACTCATTTAAGACTGTTCTTGTGAGGATACTCGAAAAAATGGACATTCTGGCATACATATGTGTTATTGTTCGTTCATGCGTGCGAGAGAACTCGACACTGGTTCGCGTCTTTCTGTACGTTATGTGTGTGTGTGTGTGTCAGGAGGCCATTAACTGAAAGCGCTTTCTCTTTTGTCTTGTCGCGAAGGAATGGTAAAACTTTAAAGCATTTGCGTGAATAAGAGCGTGATCATAATCCTAGCTAAATGATGACAGAAAGAAAGAACTGATGGATTGCCTTTAAATAGTTTAAAACGTTAAAGCTGGACAAAAATGAGTCGTATGCGTTGACAGCACTTGTCATACATTGCTGACAGAAAATATTGCGGTTTGAATTGTGGTTTGACTCGTTAGGCCTACACAGAATGTTTTTTAGTAAGCTACACAGAATGTTCATCATTTAATATTTAGCTAATTTCCTGAATCAATCAACTCACATCTCCTTTCTTTCTTTTCATCCATGATGACATTAGTCAAGCTGTTTCTGGCGTTTCATCACTGACTGGGTCGCACTCGCAATCTATTTTTATAGTCGATGGTCGCAAGTAGAGCTTTCAGTGAGCTATTTCACACAGGCTCAGTCCTGCTCGTCCGTGCCGTGGCGATGACTGTGTGCGGTTAAAAGTCACAAACAAACGAATTTGAAAGTGGGGGGACATGTCCGCATAGGAAATTACACCCGTGGGTAAAACATCATCCCCGGACTTTATGAACTATGAAGCGCTCCATGCTTTCACCGACGACGCTAATGCACTGTGGACCCGCCCTGCTCTGCTTCTGATAGGCTTGTAACGTGTTAGAGCTGCGATCCTCTCATAAGATTGGTAGGTGATATCAATTGACTCGAAAATATTAAACCGCATGCAAGTTCACAAATTTTTTCCCCCCTCACGGCCGCACGCCGGAGTACTTTAAGCCCTGCCAACAACCCTCGACTTATTTACACTCCTAGGGCCAGGCTTCAGGACAATTATCACGTTCACACGCGGGCCAGGCCTCGGGCCTGTTTGTATGAAGGTAAAATAGTAGCAATACTCGAGAGCATGTAGATGTGAATTTGAGAACTTGTACAATAAATATTTGTATGTGTACGCAAACATTTACACTCACAGCTCCGATGTGAAAACCTGGAAAATAAAAATCTGAACTTGACCTCTGAGATTTGCACTCACAGACAATAGTCACAAACCTGTATACTGAATTTGAAGCTGCAGACAAGTTGTCACAAATGTGTAAAATGCCAGTCACTAAGATACAACGATAGACACAAACTTGCAATACAAATTCGCAGTACAACTTCAAATTGGCACTTGCAACTTCTCAAATCTATCACTGCAAGTTCAAATTTCGCACCTTGACTTTTGCTACTCTTTTCGTGATATATGAGATGCAAAACTAACTTTTGGAACTTCAAAGGAGCCGTTTTATTGGTTGGTGCCTAGCCAATGAAATGGGAATTCTATTGAATGAGAAGATGTTATGAAACCCGCCTCCTGGGAGTGTATATGAGTCCACACTCAAGATTGTTAAAGTTAATGAGATAATTAAGTGATTAATTGAGTGATGTTTGAGCATTATTGAAGACAGAGAAATGAAACAGAGCAGGGAAAATCTAAAATTGTAAGCCACCAATATGGCGATCAGTGTTTGCTTTAGTTGGGATCTTGACCCTTATATTATTAACTTTAGATTTTGTTTGGCTGTTGTAACTGAGTTTTAACTGCCAGATGAATAAAAATAAAAAGTGATGTAATGGTGTTGGTTATATTATGAAACTCATCATTTAAACTTTATGTTTGTGATTTATGCTTTTGGTTACAGCATAACTGTAATTCTGCATAAATATTCAGAATTTTATATACAATATAAAGGATTTCTTAAAAGTTGTTTAAAAGGAAAATCTTTCTTTTAGGCACACACAGACCTCAAGATTCAGTCAATACATCTCAACAATGGTGACGATCAGAATATTCAATTAGGAAAAGTAAATTACATAGACAATTCAGATAATCAGATAAATTATTCATACTGCAATGCATGATGGGAGCCATTAATGAGTTGTGATTGGTGTCAGCCACTGCAACATGCATTATTATTGTCACAATTGTTGAGATTCACAGGCTGATTATTAATATCGTTGTTTTACCTTTTAATTCCTTTTTTGTAAACGGCGTTTGAGTTAGTTTGCACGTTCAACCTATGTGTTCAACTTGTAAACACTCTGTAATTCCAGCTACGTCGCCCGTGACCTTTTGAACGTAATTACGTATTACGTGACGTTGCAAACGCGCCTCACAGAATACAGCAAGGCTAGCATTTGTCCTTAGAAAAGTTACATTTTTGGAATAAGTTTTGAAATAACCGATCGTTTCGCATGATAAGACCCTTATTCATTGTCTGGTGTCGTTTAAAGACATTTGAAGCTGCATCTGAAACTGTTATTAACTGTCGTTTGGACCTCTGACCGTCTGGTTCCCATGAAAGTCCATTATATGGAGAAAAATCCTGGAATGTTTTCATCAAAAACCTTAATTTCTTTTCGACTGAGGAAAGAAAGACATGGACATCTTGGATGACATGGGGGTGAGTAAATTATCAGCAAAAGTTTTTTCAAAAGTGAACTAATCCTTTAATTATCTCATTACTTGAACACCCTTGAGTGGTTCGGCTCGGACTCGGGCTGATCATTCTGAGCTGTCTGACACGGGCCGGGCTAGAGCCTGAGCATCTCGGGCCGGGTTAGGGTCTAGATTTGAGGCCTGTGCAGGGCTCTATGGCTGGGCAATATATATCGCATGACATTGTTATGTGCATATAGTCAGTAAAGCCGGTTCCTTGATTAGTAGTAAATCACCTTCACCTGCTTTCAGATGGAGCGGCATTTACTACAAAGAGCCGTAATTCATTGACAAGCTGAGCCATATCGCATTAATATCGTGGACGTATCGCCAGCGAGAGTGACGCGACCCGTGAAATCCCCAACAGCACACGGATTCCCCATCCTATTTCTGACCTAGTCCCAGCTCTTTGCAACAGTCGCTTCAAGCACTGTGTTGCGTTGCTCGCGTCCTGTCTGTGTTGTAGACACGGTGGCGTTCTCAATTTCAATTTTACTCAAAATAAACTAACACCAGAAACCTCTTAGACAAATGTCTCATATGCTGAGAACGCTACCTAACATATAAACACAAAATTATGCATGTTTAATCACTCCGGGCGATTCATGATCAGAGTCAGAGAGTGGCAGCCTCTTGAACCACCACCACGTTCAACTGGAAAACTTCTGCAGTCCCTGATTGGCCAAAATGCTCTGTTCGACTTTTCTGAGATCATCTACTCTTCCCTGGGGATGACCTGTGACCTACTTTTTGTAAGATCTGAATCTATAAGATTGAATTTCCGAATTTCTTCATCTTAAAAAACTTGAATTTTAAACAGAATATTTGCAGTATTTGAATTCAGAACAAAAAACTAGCCATTTGAAAATACATGTCTATAAAAGTCAGCCATAAAAACCTTTCAGTTTGATGAATTTCAAATGTTCAATATTCGTTACAAAAAAATTCAAATTCAGAACTATTTAAACTACCACCTAAAATTAAACTTTGTTAGATTACACTTGCAAATAATTCAAATTTACAAATTCAAATTCAAATCATATTATCATATTAATAGCTCCATATTGCTGTGGTATTTCACCATACAAATGAGCTTGTTTTCATTAAATGGCATATATATATATATATATATATATATATATGTGTGTGTGTGTGTGTGTGTGTGTTAGTACCTGGTATTAATGCATCTCTTCTGCAGTCATACAGCATGCCCAACTGGAAGGATCTCCCCAATGCTGCTTTTTTTATCACGGACACTCCCACGGAATCCATACTACAGACAATCAGATGAGATAAACAGTTTAGTGAGGTTGCAGTTATGTGAACTTGGCTACAACACATTACAAACTGTTGTCATGTGTAAGGAATAACAATAAAAAGAAAAAGATAGATTTGTTTATAATTAAGTGTCTTAGATGCACATTTTAAGAAATAAAGCTGCTGAATGCCAGAGATGGGAGTAAGTGACAGATGTTCAAGTCTCAAGTAGGACTGCACGATATATCTCACGATATTGTTATGCGCATCTAATCAGTAAAGCCGTTTCCTTGATTAGTAGTAAATCACCTTCACCTGCTTTCAGATGGAAGACATGATGCAGATATGAGTGTTAAATTAACACTCAAGAGTGTTAAAGTTAATGAGATAATTAAGTGATTAATTTAGTGATGATTGAGCATTATTGAAGACACCTGATGTTAACAAGCAGAATCACTGAAGGAGAAAAATCACAAATTGTAAGCCACCGTTATGGCGATCAGTGTTTGCTTTAGTTGGGCTCTTGACCCTTATACTTTCACTTTGTTTTGTTTGTCTGCTGTTATTATTTTATAACAGTCAAATGAACAAAGACAAGCGTGATCTGATAGTGTTGGGCATGTTTTGGCATAATCATGCTGTGATCTGAATAATGAAACTTATTCAGATGATTTGGTTTAACTTGTTAACAACAGTTTAATGGTTCTACAGCATAAGAAAGTCTGTATTTTTCTTTTAATCCTAAACATTTAATAAAATTGTTCTGATCAAATCAATGTCATCTTTATTCAGAAACATAGACATCAATAATCAGCCTGTGAATCTCAACCATGGTGACAATAATAATCCTTGTTGCTACCAATCACAACTCATTAATGGCTCCCATCATGCATTGCGGTATAAGTAAATTATGATCTGAATTGTCTATGTAATTTACTTTTCCTAATTGAATATTCTGCTCTTCACCATTGTTGAGATGCATTGACTGAATCTTGATATCTGTTTGTGGCTAAAATACAGATTTTCTTTTCTTTTTCTTTTTTTTACAACTTTTAAGAAATCCTTTATATTATGGGCCCTATCTTGCACCCGGCGCAAATGACTTTATACACAAACGCATTTATCATTCCTATTTTGCACCAGCGCAAAGCTGGTTTTTCCTTCGGTAAACTAGGGAATGAACTTGCGCTCCCTGGGCGGAATGATTCTATCATCTACACACACTGCATGAAAAGTGGGATTTTCGTCAGTAAGCGGCACTGTAGATTGTCGTGGAAGTTCAGGTTTACGACTGCACACGGCAATTTACAGGTAACACTCAAAACTGCTGTGAATTGCCGGAAATTGACGTGGGCCTTGCTTGGCAGTTGTCCCCCCATTGTCCCCCCTTCTCCTAAATCTAGAGGAGGCTTTGACATGTAAATGAAAATGCTGTGAGCTATACACATGCAAATAAGGGTAGGGGAGTTTCACCCCAGGTAACATTTTTCTGAAAGGTATAACTTCATTCTAAGACAAGATCAGGCTCAGTATAACCTAATTGCTGTGTTTTTTTTTGTTTTTTTAACATTGCACATAATGCACAACAATTACAACAATAACATGACATCCAAAAAGATAACAATCAACAAATAATAATTTCACAATAAATAAGAAACAAATAAAAATAGGACAGAATTGAACAAATGAAATAAAAACAGGAAAGGGACTATCTCTATTGTGTATAATATTATGATTTAAGAGAAAGTTAGAAACCAGTAATTTGTACTATTTAAAGAAAGAAAATTAGCTTCAATTAGCTTCAATATTCTTTAGCAAATACAATTGTATCACTACATTTTTATCGATACATTTGAGAGACAGAATATACTGAAAACTAAAAATTAGACCAAAAAAAAAAAAAAAAACTTCAAACAAGGTTTAGAATTATTCATTTTACTCTTATAAATATGAAATTTTCCTAATAAAATTATAAGATTCATCATAACATTTACGGAAGCAGTTTTCAAAATATATGATAACATCTTTGATGTTAATTCACAGTTATAAACAGATGTTTTTTGTTTTTGTTTTTTACAATTTTTTTGACTGGTTTATTTAATTTAAGTAACCTAATAAAGTTATTTATTTATGCATATATGTATTTTTACATTTCATGGTAGCCTATTTAGGTATATCCACCTTATTCCTAATTTAAAATGAACTAACAGCAGCAGAAAAGTCAAAGGACAGCCGACGACAGCCTTTCAACCTGAGTCAAAAACCAGTGAACGTAACTCTGATTGGCTGAGGCAGCATATCGTCATAATCCAACCTGTAACGTCAGCCACTCTGATTGGCTGAGGCAACGTGCCAGGCATGTGGCGTGTTTTTTAAGCAGAAAGTAACTACACAGATATTCAGCCTGCTTCGCCGTCATGATCGCTGGGGAACCCATCTTTTCCTCTAAATTGAAGGTAAGTTCGTCCAGCTTAGTGAATTCTATGTCCATGTCTACTTATAGTTTTTGGTAGTTTAGCGTTTTTGTCTTAAACTTCACAAATCGGCTGTGATTACTGCCGCGAATGTCCAAGGGTGTTAACCTAACGGAACAGTTTTTTGTTTTGCGTTAGCTTGCTGCTCGTAATTCTTTTTTTGTTTCATTTCAATTTGAACAAATTTGGGACACTAAACTGTACGTTGGGTTGCACGTTGTTATCTGGCTGCAAGTTAGCTACCATTCTTTGATAGTAATCAAACTAACTCATTTACTCTGAATATCGTCAGAAATTATGAAAAAAGAATAAGTGCCAGGGTCCTAAAACAAAGCGCGTAATGTGCTTGTATGCTCTAGTGTAGGCTATCCTTGTTTGTAAAATTGCATCACTTTGTGTGATGAGTGAAATCTTCAGATGTTTCTGATTTGTTTTGTCTCTCAGGGGCTGTTAGGAGTGAGGTGTCCTTCGCTGATGGGAGAAAAAACACCTAAATAAGGTAACGTTACGTGTTGTGATCTCATCCTCTTTTCTTTTGAACAGACCCCAGTCAAATAAAAAGTAAAACTAAACTAATTTGGATTAACGTCTGTGTTTATAGATGACTTTGAGCGTGAGACAGTGGTGAAAACGCCAAAGAGAACTGGAACATGGCATGTTATATTCAGTTATAAATGTTTGACCAAGTTTTTAAATATCTTATAAATCTGTTCAGTTTCATCATTTGATAATAACTTTTAAAACACATTTTTTTTTGTGGTATAGATGCAGTGACTGAGACTGGGAGATGCAGTGACTGAAACCTGGTGGTAAGTGTTGATCTATTGGCAGTGGAGAAGACACTTTTAATAGACACCTTCTCTCTTGTGAGCTAGCAAACTTTGTTATTCTAATTAGAGCATTGTAAACATCACCAAATGTGTTCGTTTATTTCAGTGTTCCAGAAAAAGGTCCTGAAACTACTGGTCGACATCCGCCATCGCCTGAAGGAAACCAGGTAGTGGATGCAGAAGAAACATATTTTTGCTTACAAATGTGGGGACTTGGGGCAGATTGCCTTTGCATACATCTAAATCATTTGTCTTTTTCAACTTTGCAGAAGGGGTCATGAAATTCGGTTCCACAGCCACTGAGGTGTATGTACATCAAGGTGAACCTCAAGCACGCGTCGCAAAGACTTAAATTCACTTCGCCCTGATGAGCCAAGCCTACAGGACTTGAATTAAGAGTTTTAAAGGGATAGTTCACTTTGAAATTATTTTTTGAAATGTTTTGGCTTACGTCAAGGGCATCAGTCAGTCATATAATGGAAGTCTATGGGGATCTCTTAAAAGAGCATGCACAGAGAAGTACAAATTAAACATGATTTAATGAATCATAACTGTAAGTACACCTTGATGGCTTAAGATACGAGACGAGCGGTGTGTGTGAGAAAATGAACAGTGTGTGTGTGTGTGTATATATATATATATGATCTGCGCATGCGGTGGAAACCGCCAGAAGCGATCTTGCACTGGTACGTCACTCATTGTTTACACAGATTTCGGAAGTTTTACTGTGAAGATCTAAACATATTAAGATGTATTGCATTTTGTGTATATCTAAATATATATATATATATATATATATATATACACACACACACACACACACACATACACACATTTATACAATATAAATACTGTTTGTTTTCTTTCCCAAAACGCTCATTTCGTGTCTTAGTCAATCATTGTGTACTTAATTTATGAGTCATTAAATCATGTTTAATTTGGTCTTCTTTGTGCATGCTCTTTGAGGTGGTGACCATAGACCCGCATTATATGACTGACAGACAACAACAGTTTGACCTAAAAATATCAAAATTGAAAATACTGTGGAAACAAAACCACCTGCATCTTGGATGCCCTTGAGATAAGATAAAACATATCAAAAATTTATTTCAAAGTGAACCATACCTTTAAATTACATCCTTATTATTCGTTCATAATTCTGGCTCCACTGTACATTGTGTTTGATATATCTGGTGCCCAATTCTGATGCCATTCAGGGCAATTTATTTTTGAATAGAGATGCAATATATTATTGATTTATTTGTATAACTGTAGTGCTGTATGTATGTATGTTGTCCCATGTTTCCAGAGGGTGGAGGACATGTTTTCTGTGCTTTGAAAGATGTTCTCCTATGCTGTGTACATAGTTTTGTGTTTGTTCTAATAAAGCTATTTCTTTGAATAAACAGTATGTGGCAAATGTTCCTTTCCTCAATAAATTCATGTCCTTGATGGTAATAATAATTTAGTCCATAGGATAACAATGACATGAATAAACAACATAATAGCATATCATATGAATATGAATATATATATATATGATTATTATTATTATAATTTTATGTCGGCTGACCAATAGTAACAGATCTGCCAACCAATCACGAGTGATTTTCTTGTTTAAATGTAGTGAATTTCAACCAATACTGAGTGAGGAAATTCAAGCCATTCTCTGGCAAGGCGCGCGCAGTGCTGCTATTCATATGCTAATTAGGGCCATTCGCACCTCCGCGAGCGCTGCATGCATACGTCATGGTTCGTTTCCGTCAATATGTGGCACAGTGGAACGCGACGTTCACAGTCTGTAAATTGTCGTTAACTGCCGAAAATTAGGGAGATTTCCGGCAGTTTACGGGGACGAAAATCCCACTTTTCATGCAGTGACAGATGCATTTTACTTTTTTAAAATGATACATTATTATAAGGAAAACTATTAAAACAGGGGGGGGGGGGATTATTGTTGTGTTCATGACGATGGGAAAAATAGAAGCTTACACGTTTACCCAAATTATTATATGCATGTTTAACCGAAGCTAATTTGGGTGTGTTTGTCCCGTCCCCAATGTCACTTCTCTTTCTTTTACGGCCCTGACGAGGACATCGATCTCCTCGGCTGTGAACCGATTGTGAAGCGTGTCTGGTAAATGCGCCGTTATAATAATATTTCACCATGGAAACAGTGCACCTCGTTCATCACGATCTTAAAGGGAATGTGAGATGACGCTCTGATTGGTTTATTTCACGTTACGCCCAAACCACACTTATGAATAATGAAGTTTCTTCAGACCAATCCCTTTTAGATTTGCGCCAGGCGCAAGAGGCATTTATCCCGCCGGGAAAATAGCAACAGTGCGGGATCTACCCACAAAGTTACTTGCGCTTTGCGCTTTGACTTTTGCGTTTCAGATCATTAAAATAGGGTCCTATATCTAAAATTCTACATATTTATGCAGAATCACAGTTATGCTGTAACCAACAGCATAAATCACAAACACTAGATTCAAATGATGATTGTCACGATATAACAAAAACCATTAGATCGTTTTTTTTTTTTTTTTTTTCATCTGGTAGCTATAACTCATAAACAAAAGCCAAACAAAATCTAGAGTTAATAATATAAGGGTCAAGAGCCCAACTAAAGAAAACACTCATCTCCATTATGGTGACCTGAAATTCCGGTTTTCTCCTTCAGTGATTCTGCTTTAGGTGTCTTCAATAATGCTTAATCTTCACTCAATTAATCACTTAATTATCTCATTAACTTTAACACTCTTAAGTGTGGACTTATATACACTCCCAGGAGTGTAAATTTAACACTGGAGTTTTTGCTGTGTACAAAGAGCCGTAGTTAACTGACAAGCCGAGCCATATCGCATTAATTATCGCTGGCGATACGTCCTCGATATTAATGTGATATGGCTCAGCTTGTCAGTGAACTACGGCTCTTTGAACTTCGTGGAAAGTCCAGGGGTCAGAAAGTAAAAGTCCTGCCATATTTTTATTCCACCCATGAACTCACACAGCAAAAACTCCACTTTTAAAATAACTTTCCTAAGAGTTAATTTGGCTCCAGCCTCAAGAGTGTTAGTGTTAAAATAAGTGTTAAATTAACACTCAATAGTGTTAAAGTTAATGGGCTAATTAAGTAATTGATTGAGTAATGTTTGACCATTATTGAAGACACCTGATGTTAAAGGTAGTGTAGGTCATCATTTAAAAAAAAAACTTTTTTTCCATATTTGCTTAAACTTTCTGTATATATCAATGCATAATTAAAATCTAAGTACTCTGAAAAAGAAAGTATAAAAATCGAGTGTCTGTAGACCTCTCACGACTGTTTTAAAGACAGCTCATTATTTCCATTCACTTCACCCCCTCCCTTCTGGGCTCCTTCCAAAGCCACGCCCCCAAAACACATGAACGCGCGACTCCGACAGCTGAGCTGAAGACGCATTATTTACCTGAGACGAGCGGAGAGGAGAGGAAGGAGTGCTCCATCATGTCAGAAACACATGTAAATAAAAAAAATCTAACTATCATTATGAAGATAAACAAATAAGTTGTATTTTATTACTCACTATCAAGCTAGCATATTGATATTGGTAACCTTTACAATATATATTTATTGATTCGCTAATGAGCTAGTTATCTATAAGGCAAAGCTAAAAACAGGTTGCATGATACACGTTTTTCCATTGCCATCATTTACACTGTGATGAAGATGAATTTCGTGTAAGATTCATATATATGGTGTTCTGACTGCATGTAAGAGTTTGCTTGATGAAAGCATTGTTGATTCTGATGAGGACTACACTCCCGAGACAAGTGTTACCCATAGACAGTATAAGAAAGCAAGTACCACATCGTCAGCTCGAGGACAGATCCGTGGTCGAGGGCGAAGCAGAGGAGGTCGTGCAAGAGGCCGTGCTATTAGGGTCCGAGGAAGTAGAGACCGAGCCGAGGACGGGGTAGTCGTGCAGGGCAAGGAGCACTTTTTAGACAAGAGGACCTGCGTCGAGTTTTGCATCTTCAAGCTCAAACAAGGGCATACGAACAGGTACGATCTGGATACGCGCAAGTGGGCAGGTCCTGTGTGGCAAAAGGGTTGCCATGGTTGCGAGAGAGTGACAGTCGCCTAAGCCAATCCGTTGTTTCGTCCCGGTTCGAAATAATGAGCTGTGTTTAGTGCAGATTAAACGGTCAAGAGTCACTCGATTTTTATACTCTTTTTTCAGAGTACTTAGATTTTAATTATGCATTATATATATATAGAATAGAATATAGAAAGTAGAATATATATAGAAAGTTTAAACAAATTTGGAAAAAAGTTTTTTAAAAATTCTGACCTACACTACCTTTAACAATCAGAATCAACAAAGGAGAAAAATCTAATTTTAACAGTATTTGCTTTAGTTGAGCTCTTGACCCTTAAACTATTAACATTAGATTTAGTTTGACTGCTATAATTGAGTTATAACTGCCAGATAAACAACAGGAAAAGCTGATCAGGTGGTTTTGGTTATGTTTTGACATAATCATCATTTGACCTGAATCAATGAACCTGTTTAGAGAGCCAGGTTTACCTTGATAATTACAGCAGCCTGTGATTCTACAGTATACTATTTTCAGTATTTTCATATTTTATTTGGACACACAGACATCAAGAATCAGCCTGTGATTCTCAACAATGGTGACAATAATGAACCATGTTGCCGTGCATTCTGGGTGCCACCAATTCAAAACTCATTCATGGCTCTCATCATGCATTGCAGTATGAATACATTACATACACTGAATATTGATGTCTGTGTGTGCCTTAAATAAAGATTTTTATTTTTTATTACAACAACTTTTAAGAAATGGATTATATTGAATAATATGGATCTTATGCTGTAGAATCTCTTTGATTCTGTAATGACCAATATACAATTAGGTCAGAAATTAGGCTCTAAATGAGTTCAGTGATTCAAGTCAAATGATGATTATGTCAAAACATAACCAACAATACCTGATAAACGTGTTTCTTTGTTCATCTGGCAATCGGTGGGCGGGGCTAAACCTGCCGTGATGAAGCAGGCGTTGATCATCTTCTGTGGGGGTGGTGTTTTATCCTCTTTGTCGTCATAGTTCCCCACTTTTAAAAACGAGTCGTTTTTAGAGGCTGTGTCAATAAAAGCTTTTATTGGACTAACAAGGACGTTTTCAGTTCTGAAACTTACAGGATATTCTTATAATATGATGACCTCTTAGATGTCAAAAGCTCAAGGAAAATTTGATTTCTCAGTTCATCACCCCTTTAAGGGTCAAGTGCCCAACTAAACCAAATACTGATCACCATAATGGTGACTTAAAAATTACTGTTTTCTCCTTCAGAGATTCTACTTGTTAACATCAGGTGTCTTCAGTAATTCTCAATCATCACTCAATTATTCACTTAATTATTTCATTAACTTTAACACTGCTTCAGTGTGCATTTAACACTCTGCACTCTGAGTTTATATAATTCTCACTTCTCGGTGTTAATTTAACACACAGTGTTAATTTAACACTCGGGATTTTGCTGTGCATCATGTTAAAAATTACTATTAGTTCTATTAGTTTTCATTTTACATAAATTCTTGGAATGTTTAAAGGTTTTATATCTGTGACTTTCCTCAGACTGCAGACCAGGTAAAAACATTAAAATGTTATTTAACATGTGATGTGAATGTACGTCGAGTGGGACTGAGGCTCCCAACTGCAGCTGATATAATGTGCGCTGTAGCACGATACGACCATATTTTAGTTTTCATTTCTTATTGCGTTTCCACAACAGTGTTAGTGAGTAAATCTACTGAATTTGCCACCACAACAGTGGAGTGTGTTGTGTTGGACATATGGCTACTACATTTTTAAAAAAGATAAGAGAAACTAGTCACAGCTTGTCCAGCATGTATTTTAACATGATTCTTCACTCACCTTCTCTGTTCTCCAAAGCTCTTCCTTTAGTTTATCCTGTTAAAGATGAGTTAAAAATGCATTTAGACCAATGAATAAAAGTAAGACATTGTTTAGATATTTATCTTTACCTTGAAATTTATTATTTTTGACAATCATTATTAGACCTGCATTGCTGAACTCAGTTAGAGCCTAATAGGTTTACATTAGGGCTGCACAATATACCCCATGATATTGTTATGCACATCTCGTAAGTAAAGCCGGTTCCTTGATTGGTAGTAAATCACCTTCACCTGCTTTCAGATGGAAGATATTATGCAGATATGAGTGTTAAATTAACACCCAAGAGTGTTAAAGTTAATGAGATAATTAAGTGATTAATTTAGTGATGATGGAGCATTATTGAAGACACCTGATGTTAACAAGCAGAATCACTGAAGGAGAAAATCGCAAATTGTAAGCCACCGTTATGGCGATCAGTGTTTGCTTTAGTTGGGCCCTTGACCCTCATTTCATTTTAAATTTTGTTTGTCTGCTGTTATTGATTTGTAATAGTCAAATGAACAAAGAAAAGCGTGATCTGATAGTGTGGGTTATTTTATGGCATAATCATGCTGTGATCTGAAAAAAATACAAATTATTGTAACACAGTCTCATCCCAAAAAGTCATATAACTGACGTCTTGGGATGTTTTTTGACCATACGTCAATATCCGCCGGTTAGGTTTAGGTCTGGGGTAGATTTAGGATCCCATAACCTCATCTACCGACGTTTAAGGGGGCCCTAAAAAGGCGAATATTGACGTATGGTCAAAAGACGTCCCAAAACGTCAGTAATATGACGTCTTGGGATGAGACCGGGTTGATTATTGAGATGATTAGGTTTAACTTGTTAGCAACATCTTTATGATTCTAAAGCATATGCTTATCAGTATCAGTTTAACAGACATCAGCCTGTGAATCTCAACAATGGTGACAATAATAATGCATTTTGCAGTGGTAAATACACATACATATACATTTTACATATGTATATGTATGTGTATGTGAATAAAATACCCCCTTTGAAAAAAAAGTGGCGGCCACCAATCACAACTCATTAATGGCTCCCATCTTGCATTGCGGTATGAATAAATTATTATCTGAATTGTCTATGTAATTTACTTTTCCTAATTGAATATTCTGCTCGTCACCATTGTTGAGATGCATTGACTGAATCTTGACGTTTGTGTGTGCCTAACTGAATGATTTTTTTTTAACAAATTTAAAGAAATCTTTTTTATTATACATAAAATTCTGGATATTTGTGCAGAATCACAGTTTTACTGTAACTAACAGCATAAATCACAAACATAAAGTTCAAATGATAATTGTCATAATATAACCAACATCATTAGATCATTTATTTTCTTTGTTCATCTAGCAGTTTGTAACTCGGATACAACAGCCAACCAAACTCTAAAGTTGAAAATATAAGGGTCAAGAGCCCTGTAAACCCTAATGGTCAAAATAATTAATTGGTTTGAGTAGGACAAACTTAAATTCAATGAATTTGTTCACTTAAATTTATTTTTATGAGTATTTAGCGCTTTCTTTTTCTTTCACGTCCACAGAACTGATATATTTTAAGTAAACTGAACTGTTTCATTGTTTTGAGTTTTATAAAATTATTTATTTTAATTTAGACGAACTTGAGTTTAACTGAAACGGCTGGAATATCTATTTCCCTGCATACTTTGCCGATGGCACTCAAAAGAGAGTGTAAATGCTAAAATTAAGTGCAATATAAAGTTTTTTTTTAAGTGATTAATGTTTTGTTATGCTAATTTAGAAGAATTTCTGTTAATGTTGGCTTTAGGATAGTTACCATCATGGTGACAAGTGGTGCATTCAGCTTGATTTGAGAGCAAATTATACATTTATATTATTACGCTCATACAGCAAGTGCTTCTGTGCTTATAAGTGCTTATAACATACTGTTTCTAATATGTTAGCATTTACTACGTCAGCAGATTGGCTTTTAAAGCTAACTAAGTTTATACTATTAAAAGTGATTTGAGTTCTGCCAACTTATTCGGGTTTACAGTGTACTTCATAGATTTAAGTTCTAGTAACTAATTAGTTCTATTAACTTTATTTACCCAAGTTATCTTAACAATAAGTTATTGAGTTACTTCATCAAATATCAAAAATCAAATATTTTTTTATGCTTAAATTGTTTGAGTTAATAAACTTAAATGAGTTAAGGCAACCGGTTTCCTCAAACAGTTTGAGTTGTACTAACTCATCAGGTTTTACAGTAAAGCAAACACTGCACTGTAAAACCTGATGAGTTAGTACAACTCAAAACTTAGTTAGCTTTAAAAGCCAATCTGCTGACGTAGTAAATGATAACATATTAGAAACAGTATGTTATAAGCACTTGTAAGCACAGAAGCACTTGCTGTATGAGCGCAATAATATAAAAGGATAATTTGCTCTCAAATCAAGCTGAATGCACCACTTGTCACCATGATGGTAACTATCCTAAAGCCAACATTAACAGAAATTCTTCTAAATTAGCATAACAAAACATTAATCACTACTAAATCTCACTCTTAACATTAATCTTACACAAAAAACTATATATTGCACTTAATTTTAGCATTTACACTCTCTTTTGAGTGCCATCGGCAAAGCATGCTGGGAAATAGATATTCCAGCCGGTTCAGTTAAACTTAAGTTCGTCTAAATTAAAAGAAAGAATTTCATAAAACTCAAAACAATGAAACAGTTCAGTTTACTTAAAATATATCAGTTCTGTGAACTTGAAAGAAAAAGAAAGCGCTAAATACTCATAAAAATTAATTTAACTGAACAAATTCGTTGAATTTACGTTTGACCTACTCAAACCAATTAATTATTTTGAGCGTTAGGGTTTACAGTGTGATCGCCATAACGGTGACTTACAATTTTAGATTTTCTCCTTCAGTGATTCTGCTTTAGGTGTCTTCAATAATGCTCAATCATCACTCAAATAATTACTTAATTATCTCATTAACTTTAACACTCTTGAGGTTTGTTAATTTAACACTAGAGTTTTTGCTGTGTACGAAGAGCGGTAGTTAACTGACAAGCTGAGCCATATCGCATTAATTATCGCTGGCGATACGTCCGCAATATTGATGCGATATGGCTGAGCTTGTCAGTGAACTACGGCTCTTTGTAGTAAATGCTGCTCCATCTGAAAGCAGGTGAAGGTGATTTACTACTAATCAAGGAACCGGCTTTACTGATGAGATGCGCATAACAATGTCTGCGATATATCGCCCAATCTTAATCTGTATGAAAGGTGTATTTATCTCTAAAGGTGCATCCAATTTACAGTGGAGATTAGGGCTGGGCGATATATCGAACGATATTGAATGCGCATCTAATCAGTAAAGCCGGTTCCTTGATTAGCAGTAAATCTCCTTCACCTGCTTTCAGATGGAGCGGCATTCACTACAAAGAGCCGTAGATCACTGACAAGCTGAGCCAAATCGCGTTAATATCGAGGACATATCGATATCGATATTTAATGCGATATGGCTCAGCTGGTCAGTGAACTACGGCTCTTCGTCACGACAAAATCTCCCGTGTTAAACTAACACACCTGGGAGTGTATATGAGTCCACACTCAAGAGTGTTAAAGTTAATGAGATAATTAAGTGATTAAATGAGTGATGATTGAGCATTATTGAAGACACCTAAAGCAGAATCACAAGGAAAAAATCTAAAATTTTAAGCCACCGTTATGGAGATGAGTGTTTGCTTTAGTTGGGCTCTTGACCCTTATATTATTAACTTTATATTTTAATTTGCTGTTGCATCTGAGTTATATCTATCAGATGAACAAAAATAAACAATAATAAAATGATTTTGGTCATATAATGACATTTATCATTTGAAATTTATGCATATATATATATATATATATATATATAATAAAGTTTATTTATAAAATTTATAACATATAATTTATTCTGTTGCTTAGTGTATGACTTAGATTCTGAATAAATGTCCAGAATATTAAAAATATTAGACAGTTTTCTCAAAAGTTGCTTAAAAGAAAAAAAACTTTCCTTTAGGCACACACAGAGCTCAAGATTCAGTCAATGCTTCTCAACAACGGTGACGAGTAGAATATTCAAGTAGGAAAAGTAAATTACATAGACAATTCAGATCATAATTTATTCAAACCGCAATGCATGATGGGAGCCATTAATGAGTTGTGATTGGTGGCAACAAGGATTAATTTCGCCACCACAGTTGAGATAGACAGGCTGATTATTGATCTCTGTGTTTCTAAATAAGCATGAAAGTGATTTGATCAGAATAATATTTATCAATTAATTTATGTTAAAAGAAAAATACAGATATGCAGTACAATCACTAAAATCTTGCTAACAAGTTAAGCCAAATCATCAGAAAAGTTTCATTTTACAGATCACAGCATGATTATGTCAAAACATAACCAACACTATAAGATCAAAGATGTCTTATTTGACTGTTATTAATCAATAATAAAGCAGACACACAAAATTTAAAGTGAAAGCATAAGTGTCAAGACCCCAACTAAAGCAGACACTGATCTCCATAACGGTGGCTTACAATTTGTGATTTTGTCCTTCAGCGATTCTGCTTGTGATCATCAGGTGTCTTCAATAATGCTCAATCACCACTAAATTAATCACTTAATTATCTCGTTAACTTTAACACTCATATCGTCCATTTGAAAGCATGTGAAGGTGATTTACTGCTAATCAAGGAACCGGCTTTACTGATTAGATGCGCATAACAATATCGTGCGATATATCGCCCAGCCCTAGTGGAGATATGTTTGCAGCCGATACTGATTTACAAAACACTAGCTTATTAATAAACAATTAAAATGCCTCGTTAATTTTTTCAGACACATTTATTATCAATAGCCTACATTTACTGGTGCTTTGCGGTAAGATTTATGCATGCGCTTGAGCGCGGAATAGGCTATATTCCTCCATGCACCCATATTTAAGCAGAGATTAATAAAAATGCACAATTAGTCTAAATATTTAGTTTTTGCAACTCTAATCAATAAATTTACTATAGTTTACATTATTTAATTAGTATCCAGCTCTTTACAGTAAATTAGTTGAGTTAGCATAATTATTTAATGAACTAATAAAATAATAAATTAAAGTTTTAAATTATGATGCTATCCATATATTTATATATAGCATTGCTCGTTCTACGATTTTTTCTCTTTTTTATGGTGACAATCCGTTAAACATGCACAAGGTTGCATCATATGAAGATACTGTATCTTGAATATAGTTGGATTGTATTCTGTTATAAAGATGCAGATTCACATTTATTTAATTAAATAAGCACATAATGTTGAAAAAAATAACTTACGTTCTTTTAGAAGTGTTTTGACTACTTATATTTAATATATTATATCTCTAGGTAAAAATAAATATTTTTACTGTAAAATTATATATATTACATTGAAAATTTCTATAGGATGAATTTTTTTTAAAAAAGTACTCACTGATTAATTTTGCTCGAGGTCCTCGATCAGTGTTGGCTTAACTCTGCTAGACAAACAGACACCAAGAATCAGACTGTGAATCTCAACAGTGGTGACATTGTTATAAAGCTTGTTGCAGTGCATTCTGGGTACCACCAATCAAAACTCATTCATGGCTCCCATCATAAATAATGAGTTTAGTTTAACTCTTTTTATTGGTGTTTTACCGGTCAGAAAGGAAATGGAGAACAATACAAAGTTTGTATCAACATATTGATCAATAATAATAATAGAAAAGTATACAGACACATTTCTTACTCTCTGACTCAAAAATAGAAAAGAAAAGAAAGAGAAAAAAAGGGATATATCCGCTTGCTTCAAAACATGTTAGTGCAGTGCATTACCCAATAGTACAAGTATAATACTAGTGCAGTATGCATGTACAATATGGAATCAATAAAATTAAAATACAGCAAGATTATAAATAAGATTATAGGTAAAAAAAAAAACAGCCTTGCAACACCTTTACAACTCTTTCCCTCCCCTTTTTAAATAACCAGTCAATGCCATCTGACAAGAAAACAAATACAATTTATTTCCCCTTTTTATGTAGTCTGTTTCTTAAACAATCAAGGGCGGGAGAGAGGACAAAAAACAAAAGAACCCACCCCCCCCCCCCCCCCTCCCAAAAAAAAAACAGCTGGGATCAAATGCAAAAGAGTGCTTTAATTAATGGTTATTTATAGATAGAATAATTATTTTTTTTAAATAAATTGTATTGTATTGTGTTGATTTTTATTTAAAGGGACCATGTGCAATTAATAACATAAATGTAAACATTTGATGCATTACACCAGAGTTAGCCTTAGGCTAATTTACATCTGCAGTCCCCCGGCACAAATAAATACAGATACATACGACACAGATTAAAATATCAACACTATTCAAGAAAATTTGGCATATCAAACATAAAACAAGAAAAGGTTGGCAAATCATATGAAATTGTTCTGTTCTGCCAATCATGGTATATCTATTTTTTTTCTATTTGAATAAACTGCAACAGGTCGTGCATCCAATGAGAGTAGCTGGGTGGAAGAGGATTTTTCCAGTTCAACAATATAAGCCTTTTTGCAATTATGAAGCAAAAAGCTAAAGCATTTGACTGTAAAGATGATAAAAATACCTTAGCGGGATTAAGACCAAATAGTGCCACTAAGGGGCAGGGTTCAACATCTAGCCTGAAATAAATAATGAGTTTAATTGTCTTAATAACTACCTTTAATCCTTTTTGTATTTTGATTTAAACATCATCGCTGCAGTTTTTACAAGAATCTGGTCACATTAGTTAATACACTTGTTGAACAATCAATGAAGAACTGTTTTTTTTTCTTCTTCTTTTTTTCTTTAGGTAAATGCAACAAACAAAATGTCATACTTCATTATTATTAGTTATTTCATGTTAACTAATGCATAGGGGATAATGTATAGCGAGGTGGTTGTTATAGCGAATACCACCCCAACAGGCTGACTACGAGCATGACGCGAAGCAGATTTGCTGGCTACATTTTTTTAAACCAAAAGTAGCATTTGAAACTAGAGTGTGGGAAAATGTTACTGATAACCAACAGCTGTACCCATCCTCGTATGTGTTATTCTGCTGAAGTGTTACATCCTGTTATTTCTCTGCATCATTTACTGGAAACCATGTCCTTTCTGGCTTAGCCAGTTACCCTCTTGTTGATTTCTTTGATTTTGATTTCAACATGTTCACAGTTCAGTCTTGGCATCATAAAGAAACAAACCGCAAACAAATATAAAAAAAAAAATATTTGTTATATTTAGGCTTTATTTTATAACCATTAAAACCAACTGGAATTAAATTGATAAAATTTAGAAGTTTAGATTCATTGAATTTTAAGGATTTAAAACGCGAACTTCCCAGATAGCAACATTGTTTCGGCCCAGATCCAGCCCAAATCTGGCACATGTGGAATGACTGCACGTGGCCGGACCGCTCCTGTTTGCCAGATCTGGGCCACAAGCAGGCCATAGCAATGCCACATGTCAGCCAAAAGCAAGAAATAAACCAGAACTGCATCTTATCTGAACCACAAAATCTGTGTGTATTAAACATGGAATCATCTCAGCCTTAATAAGCCTGTTAACAAGCAGAATCACCGAAGGAATTAAGAGAACAGAAAAAGAGATGAGCAGAAGAATGCACTGACAATATTTTGAGCAAATATATCACATAATTCAAACACAGACAAAGATTTTGGATATGATTCAACATCAACTGTGTGTGACTGTACAATTTCTCAATACATTGTGTAAACTAGGGCTGAACAGTATATCGCACTATATTGTTATGCGCATCTCATCAGTAAAGCCGGTTCCTTGATTAGTAGTAAATCACCTTCACCTGCTTTCAGATGGAGCGGCATTTACAAAGAGCAAAGAACAAGCTGAGCTGTATCACATTAATATCGAGGACGTATCGCCAGCGATAATTAATGCGATATGGCTCAGCTTGTCAGTTAACTACGACTCTTTGTACACAGCAAAAGCTCAAGTGTTAAATTAACACTCTGTGGAGTGTATATGAGTCCACACTCAAGAGTGTCAAAGTTAATGAGATATTTAAGTGATTAATTGAGTGATTATTAAGCATTATTGAAGACACCTAAAGCAGAATCACTGAAGGAGAAAACCGGAATTTCAGGTCACCATTATGGAGATGAGTGTTTGCTTTAGTTGGGCTCTTGATCCTTATTTTATTTCTCTAGATTTTGTTTGGCTTTTGTTTATGAGTTATAACAGCCAGATGAACAAAGAAAAAAAAAATACAAACTAATAGATTTGGTTATATTATGACAATCGTCATTTTAACTTACTCTATGTGATTTATGCTCATCACAGCATAACTGTGATCTGCATAAATACCTAGAATTTGAGATGTAATATAATGGATTTCTTAGAAGTTGTAAAAAAAACCCTTTCTTTTAGGCACACGCAGATATCAAGATTCAGTCAATGCATCTCAACAATGGTGACGAGCAGAATATTCAATTAGGAAAAGTAAATTACATAGACAATTCAGATCATAATTTATTTATACTGTAATGCATGCTGGGAGCCATTAATGAGTTGTGATTGGTGGCAACAAGGATTATTATTGTCACCACGGTTGAGATACCACGGTTTTCTAAATAAATGCATTTGAAAGTAATTTTATCAGAACAATATTTGTTAAATATTTTGGACTATAAGAAAAATAATGACAATCATATGCTGTAGAACCACTAAGCTGTTGCTAACAAATTAAACCAAATCATCTAAATAAGTTTCATTTTTCAGATCACAGTATGTTTATGTCAAAACTTAACCAACACTATCAGATCACGCTTTGTCTTTGCTCATTTGACTATTATAAAATAATAACAGCAGACAAACAAAATTTAAAGTGAAAGTATAAGGGTCAAGAGCCCAACTAAAGCAAACACTGATTGCCATAATGCTTACAATTTGTGATATTTTTCTTTCAGTGATTCTGCTTGTTATCATCAGGTGTCTTCAATAATGCTCAATCATTACTAAATTAATCACTTAATTATCACATTAACTTTAACACTCTTGGGTGTTAATTTAACACTCATATCTTGATCATATCTTCCATCTGAAAGCAGGTGAAGGTGATTTTCTACTAATCAAGAAACCGGCTTTACTGACGATATGCGCATAACAATATCGTGAGATATATCGTGCAGCCCTACTGTAAACATGCTTTTATTCACCTTCAAATAAGTGATCATTTTACTGCTAATGGCCCAAATAATGCAGTTCCACAAGATTGGTGCTTATAAATGGCAGGAATGATGACAAAAGTCAAACACATTGATTTTATCATCATCAACAATGATGAGCTGATGACCGCCAATCAAATAATAATAATAATACATTTTATTTCAGGGCGCCTTTCAAGACACCCAAGGACGCCTTACAGAGAAAAATTAAAACAGAACATTAAAACTAACCAACAATAATATCAATATAAAATCACGTTGGTACAGTAAAAAAAATAAAAAAATAAAAAAATAAAAAAAAAATAAATAAAGTGAAGTCCCAATGAAAATCTAAGTAGAATAAGCTAGTCTGAACAGATGAGTTTTAAGTTGAGATTTGAATTGAGGAAGAGAGTCTATTTGACGGATGTGAGATGGGAGAGAATTCCACAGACGTGGTGCAGAACGGCTGAAGGCTCTAGCCCCCATGGTGCTCATTCTGAATGTTGGAACAGATAAAATGCCAGCAGTGGAGGAGCGAAGTGTTCGAGGAGGATTGTATGGAAGAAGCAGATCAAAGAGGTATGAGGGGGCCAGATCATGAAGAGCTTTGAAGGTTAAAAGAAGAACTTTGTAATTGATCCGGTAAGGTACAGGAAGCCAATGGAGCTGAATAAAAAGCGGTGTGATGTGGTCAGTTGATCTTGTATTGGTGATAATACAAGCTGCAGAGTTCTGAATGGATTGCAAGCGATGGAGAAGTTTATTTGTGGTGCCAATGAGGATAGCGTTGCAATAGTCAATGCGGGATATGATCAGAGCCTGAACAAGGATGTGTGTATTGTGCTGGGAGAGGGAGGGTCGGAGTCTTGAGATGTTACAAAGGTGAAAGTAAGCAGTCCGAGTAATATTACTGATGTGAGGGCCAAAGGAAAGTGCGCTGTCTAGGATGACACCAAGACTTTTGACTTGGGAGCAGATCGGAAACAGAGAGCCATCAAGTGATATGTTAAACGGATGATTTTTAGAAAGTGTGGCCTTAGAACCAGTTAGGAGAACCTCACTTTTATTTCCATTAAGTTTGAGAAGGTTGATTGACATCCAGTTGTTGATAGCTTGAAGACAAGAGGTGAGAGTGGAGGGGAGAAGAGAAGTGTTCGGTTTTGTGGAGAGATAAAGTTGAGTATCATCAGCGTAGCAGTGAAAATTGATCCCAAAGTGACAAAGAATGTTGCCAAGAGGTAGTATGTAGATGATAAAGAGCAGTGGTCCCAGCACTGAGCCCTGTGGAACACCATGTTTGACTGTAGAAGTTTTTGATGTGACATTTTTTCCCTGAAT